TCTCTCTCTCTCTCTCTCTCTCTCTCTCTCTCTCTCTCTCTCGCACTCTCTCTCTCTCTCGCTCTGGTCCCCCGTGCGTGCGGTGTGTAGGTTCAGGACGGACCGGCGACAGCTGCCCGTGCTGTGGCACCAGAGCCTGCTGACGTTCATGCAGCGCTACAAGTAACACTCTTTCTCTCTCTCTCTCCTGCATGTGCGCGTGCGGTGTGTAGGTTCAGGACGGACCGGCGACAGCTGCCCGTGCTGTGGCACCAGAGCCTGCTGACGTTCATGCAGCGCTACAAGGAAGACCTGTCTACGGAGCAGAAGGAGCAGCTGAGGGAGCTGCTACGCGCGCAGACGCGCGAGCCGCTGACGTCAGAGATACGCCGCGAGCTCGCACACGCGCGCTGCCGCGACACCGAGACAGCAGACATGCAGATGGAGTGAAGGACAGCGAGGTGTGGATAGCGTGAGGGGCACAGATATGTAGAGTGAGAGACAGCAGACAGTGTGGATAGCGTGAGGGACACAGACATGTAGAGTGAGAGACAGCAGACATGTAGACAGAGTGAAGGACAGCGAGGTGTGGATAGCGTGAGGGGCACAGACATGTAGAGTGAGAGACAGCAGACATGCAGATGGAGTGAAGGACAGCGAGGTGTGGATAGAGTGAGGGGCACAGACATGTAGAGTGAGAGACAGCAGACATGCAGATGGAGTGAGGGACAGCGAGGTGTGGATAGCGTGAGGGGCACAGACATGTAAGGATAGCGTGAGGGGCACAGACATGTAGAGTGAGAGACAGCAGACATGTAGAGTGAAGGACAGCGAGGTGTGGATAGCGTGAGGGACACAGACATGTAGAGTGAGAGACAGCAGACATGTAGACAGAGTGAGGGACACGGAGATGTAGAGTGAGGGACAGAGATGTAGACAGAGTGAGGGACACAGAGATGTAGAGTGAAGGACAGAGATGTAGACAGAGTGAGGGACATAGAGATGTAGAGTGAAGGACAGAGATGTAGACAGAGTGAGGGACACAGAGATGTATGCTGTTGCTTGAGTGAAGTGACCGGAGATAATGGCAGATAGATGTATGTATAAATAGACAGTTACACACAGAGTTTGTAACAGAGAGAGACAGAGAAAGAACGAGTGAGCAAACCAGAAAGGTAGGCATGCCGAGGTAGATCTTAACACAGAAAGACTGGCAGAGACAGAGAGTAACTCGAAAAAAGATAGGCAGTGACAGATGGAAACACAGAGAGACAGGAATAAACTGAGTGAAGGACCCAGAAAGAGACAGTCAGAGACGGATAGTGGGTGACTTCTACCTATTTACAGATAATTGTAAATATGTTGATGGTATATGTAATATTGCTTTTTAAATTAAAGTATTGGAAACTATAATTATCGATTTTGTGTTTATTTATTAAAAACCAGGGAACAGCATTAGCATCAGTAGACAGATAATGTAAAGTTATCAAATAACGTCTACGTGTAAATAATAATCTTTAGAATATCCCTGCATAAAATGGCCTTTTCAGGTTAAAAATGATCTACGGGGAAATTTCATTGTGATTTTGTTAAAATGCAGCAAAAAATAAGTAGATCATGCCCTAGATCAATTTCACGTTAGTCGTAGGTATGAAAACACGGTACACCCACTGACATGTATGTAATAACATGTTATATGTGTTATCTAATATAAGTTGTTATATATGTTATCTAATAATGTGTTGTTATATACAGCTCCATGTTTACACCTGATCGGTATAACTCAAACAAAACAATCAAGTTGGGTATTAAATTGAAAATTTATTAGAAGTAATCGCTAAAAATAGACATTTTTTCACTATTGTATATATTAAAGGACATTAGATGTTTTAAACAATCAGTTGGATGGTATTAACAAATACTATTGCTCAACAATGCGTTGCTTTTAGATGAGATATGGGCACATTTTTAGCTATTCTTACATTTGTAAATATTTTTTAATTTCAATCATGAACGGTTGATATTTTTGTCACTATTTCTACACATAGAAGTATCTAGTATATAGTAAAGTAGTGCTAAACAACCAATTAACATACAGTACTGAATATATTGCTGCCTAACAATCTTATGAAATGATGCTTCACTTACAGATGTTCATATGAGCAACATTTGAAAGCGATTTTTAGATAATTACGTTGCAGAACTGACACTTTGAAACCATCAGATTATGATGTGATTTAAACTCCAATTTTTCTTGAAAACATTAAATGAATTTGAATGCGATAACAAGTTTGAAAAGAGAACTGATTTTGTAAATATAAAGCCATATAAAACGAGAAATTAATTTTAAACTGAATTTGAATTTGGACAACAGGATTCATTTTGAAAATGCAAACCTATTTTAAAAATAAAGATTAAGTTTGAAAACTGCAATTTGTAAAAATTGAATATGGTTTTAGAAACGAAATTAATTTTGAAAACGGTCTCAAAATAGATTTCAGTTTTCAAAATCATTTTTCGTTTTCAAATACAAATCCCGTCTGCAAAAACAATTAACCATTTTCAAAATCGATTTCCGGTTTCAAAAGCTATTACCGCTTTCAAAATCAATCCTCGTTTTCGAAATCAATCCCCAGTTTCAAAATCAAATTACCTTTTCCAAATCAATTCCCGTTTTTCAAAACCGGAATGTGTTTTCAAATTTCCGAAAACGACATTTAGTAAATGACCTGATGGCATGTGTGGACATCACAGTGACAACGGTAGCTAGTCAACCTACAAGCACCAAAACCAGACTGCATCTTCTTATCTCACTAGCATGAACATGGCCGACTCGGTAGACCGCAGCACCAGCTTGGACGGTAGGAGGGCCAGCACAGTATAGAAGGGGTTCGGGGCAGAGGATGGAGCCAAGGAAGGTGCAGAGGGTGGCAAAGAGGGGAATGATAGAGAGGGTGGATGAGTAGGGAGGATAGATGTGGAGAGAGAGAGAGAGAGAAAGAAAAATAGAAGGACAGATGAATAGAGAGATAGAGATAGACAATTACCACATACATGCACGCGCGCACGCAAACACCACACACACTCCCGCACGCACACACGCGCGGACGCACACGCACTTGCGCACGCAAACACCACACACACACTCCCGCACGCACACACGGAAAACACATACATACGCACACGCACGCACGCACACTCCCGCACGCACGCACGCACGCAAACATACTCTCTCACACGCACGCACACACACACACACACACACACACACACACACACACACGCGCGCGCGCGCGCGCACACGCACACAAACAAACAAACACAAGCACACGCACGCACGCACACACACACACACACAAACATACAAACAAACACAATCACACGCCCACACGCAGACAGAGAGAAAGAGAAGAAATAAAGTGTGTGTGTGCGTGCGTGCGTGCGCGTGTGTGTGTGTGTGTATGTGTGTTGTGTGTGTGTGTGTGTGTGTGTGTGTGTGTGTG